TTTTAGAAAAATGTGTATAGAGAAAAAACATCTAAGCAAAAACTCATAGAAGTTCATTTTGAGTTCTTGCTAATCACCATCCTAAATGCTAATGATTTTGTAAACTGATCAGATAATTAATGGTGATATGCTTTTTCCTAACCTCGCCACTTAATTATTTTGGTTCTTATGCACCCAAGCACTTACATAGTGTTATTTATGCAGGTCTGTATGTTATTTTTCTCCACTTTTTTATTACTAGTCTCAGTACTCTTTTTTGCTGTCTAATACTGAACAAACAGCATAGAGTCACATTAGCTCCTTGTTCTAAGCTCCTGGTATTTTCTTTTTACAGTGCAATAACCTCCTAGAAGGTACCAGTCACTACAGACAATTCTGCTGCTTTCACAACTACAATAATATTCTTGAGCCAGTGCAAACAAGTGATGCAATGCAAGCTGTGCTCTTCCCAAGGGTGGAGAGCATCCCCCAGCCGGACTCTCAACTTGTTTCTTCCCAAGGAGAATAACTTGCAAGGTCACTTTTGAACCCTTACTTCCCATGGGGTGGGCACAGTCCACCCAGCAGAGCTAAGGGAAAAGAAAATTAACCTCTGAACTATCTTTGCTCATATACAGAGTACACGAACTAGTAAACAGCAATACAGAACACTAACTGATTGCAGCTTCACTTGCAAGGATTGAAAGATTCTCCTAAATAACCTGAAAGGCTACATGACTAGTACTGAACTCCTGTGACTTTATTTGGAAGCTTAAATTAGATGGAAACATCCAAGTCAGGTATAAATTACAAATGCACAAGCCTCAATTATATTCTTACTGTGTCTCTAGGAGTTGCTGGTGATTTCCATGCAAATCCAGCATTCAGAAAATATTTTAACTAAAGAAAAACAGCACCATCTAAATAGATGGTAACTTCATAGTATTTGTTGTTTAAAGCATTGTGGAAATAGAGAACAATAAAATATATTAATTACTGTAACAAGGATTTGATGGGATTAGTACTGTAATAATTCTTTAGCTATTAAGCAGGTTTGTTTATATGACCATCATTGTTACATCACCTAATATCTACATTTGTTATTCTGATGAACATAAATAACATTTTTTAGTTATGATTCTCTTCTTTAAGTAGTCAAAATATGTATCTCTGAACTGGCCCCTACTGGGATTTCAGCTTTTAGCAGTTTTCCAAATACATACCTAGATACGAACAGAAAAGCATATAAAAGAAGACACACAAGTCAGATGAATCAAGAAACAGTTTGAACATCTCTGAACTCTTGTCAAGGTTTAATGTCCAAGTACACCTGTTTTCCTGTTCATTCCCCTGCTTCATTCCCATTCAGAATGTGTTTCATAGTTCAGTGCACCCGGTAATTTTTTCTTGTCATGACTGTCTCAGTTCAGCTGCCTCTGGTTAGTAATCTCCTCTTGTGGCAGCCCAGCCCATTCTCCACACCAAAGACAAGTAGGAAGCAACCAAACTTCTTAAAGGCCAGACCAACTTTCTTTCTATCTTTTCAGACATTAATTGCCTGTGACACAGAACAAAACACTTCAATATCAGCAATTCAATCAATGTCCTTACCTAACAATCTAAAGAATCTCAAAAACCTTATCATCTTTTGCCTTAGATGTATCCATATAAATGCAAGAAAAAAATGGAATACAACATTGTCCATGGAAATAGGCCTGAGAACACACACAAAACAGATGCCAGTTATTCTGTACTGCTGGAAGGTTCTCAGACTGCACATGGGCTAGAATAGTCTGCGGGAGACTTTCATACCACCTACCAAACATTCCTGCTGAGACATTTTCTAGCATCTTTCAAGCAGATAAACAGCTTCTGGAGTGTTATAAAGGCCACGCTTGGGGCAACTTGCACTGGATTGGACCAAAATTGTGTGTCTACTCTACACAATAAATAAAAACAAACTCTCTTGCACAGCATAATATGACCTACTTAAAATTTAGTCTTCATGCCCATAGCATTCCATAGCATCTAAAGGAATTATGAGCCAAAGGTTTGACCTTCCAGTAGGTAACATCTGTTGTCCCAGTGATGTGTTCCACAACAAATAAGGACATAACACTAAAGATAACATGTGACATTGGTAAAGAAAAACAAAACAAAACAAAACAAACATGGGAGAGAGAAAATAAATGAAAAGACATCACATTTTTCTGAGCAGGGCAGAACAAATGTTTGACTGAAAAGCTTCAGGTCCGGCTGGGAGAAGGCCAAGACTAATTTAACCTTTGGTCAAATGGTTGGGAGTTAGCTAGTTTCCTTTTTCCTCTTACATCACTCCCAGAGATTTCGACAAAAATAATATAGCCCCGATTACATGACATTACAGGCTCTCATAATGCACTGGGGAGGATAGTGTTGAAACCCCTTGGAGACAAATTAATCCCAGCAAAGCAACAGCTGTAAGATTGCTATAAACAGGGAAAACAACTACAATGTTTGCATTATGTACTTACATGATTTTAATATAACTTACTAAGGGGATTAGATTATTGGATTTTTTTAATAGGTCTGACAGCTTTGTATCATCATAAAAATATCAGTTGTCAGGTTGCACATAGTTGCTATTAAGGCATTTAACCACTCTGTACATTCTTCTAAAAGCTAAAGTAGACCCAGGTATAAGGTGATTTATCTTGCTTTCAGATAATGTGTGCAGCCAGAGAATATATGTTCTACAGGGTTTTTTTGCCTGTGCTGGAACGGATCAGCACTGCTGTCACTGTCGGCCCCCCGGAGCCACTGGGAGCGCTCAGGTGTCAGGCACCTGCTCAGCTCACCCCAGGATGCTGTTGCAGGGACCAGGAACACCTTGGGCCCCAGCAAACAAAGTTGCTGCAGCCATGGCACTTCAAAATCAAGAATTCCCCAGTGGAAGCAAACACAGGACCCTCCTGTCCTGCTCTCCAGTTCCTCTATACACACACCCCTGTTCTAATACTCTGTAATGTGGTATCAAACACGTGCTATTGTTCTCTATAAAACCACTCTGGTTGTAGCCTGCCCACACGCTTATTTTGGAAGACAAAATGACCTAAAGGTAGATTCCAATTTAAGTCCCCTCTCTGTGGCCGCAGCCAACCCACACACCTCTCCCAGGTGTCAGGGTCCCAGACAGCCAAAGCTCAGTCACCTGCACTCAGCCTGGCAGAGACCCTCCTCTGTCACAGCAGAGCCACGTCCCAATGCTGTCCGTGCTCCAGGTCAACTAACAGGCTTCAGGGAGCTGCAAAGGGGCATTTCAGTTGGGCCAGGATGCAAAGAGTGGGCTGACCCCTGGCTGTGTTCCTCACTCACCCACACCTCCTGCTCCCACAGCACTGCGTTAGACCCCACACACCATGGCAATGGTCCAGCTGGGGATGACACTCCAGCACAGCAAAGACACAGGACAGGTGACAAGAGGGTTCATATGGGACAGGTCTGGATACAGACAGTGCATGAAGAGAAGCGCTGAGAAGCCAAGCTGGCTGGGAGATGTCCCTGGCCACAATAGTGGGGCACTGCCTGGCATCGCCCTTTGGCACCAGGGCCATGGGGGTACACCAGTCACACCTTCCTCATCAGCCATACCCCAAACCATCACCCATCCTTGCACCCTCACCATGGCGGTGGAAATCCCTGGTATAGCCCTGCCCAAGGCACCTGCTGCACAGCAGCTCTCGCCCAGGCAGCTGAACAGTGCCCCTGTGGGAAAGACTTCAATGAAATCCATTGCTTTCTGGAGGTAAAACAGCCAAAACTACCTCCCTCAGTTTATAGCAGCCGGTGGAAAGCTGTGCAGGAAGCGAGAGGTGCGGAGACCTCTGCATGCATTATGAGGAGAGAGGAAGACAATTTTTTCCCAACTGAGAAAATATGCTCATATGGAGCAGTATTTTTAGGTGTTTTGTGTTGCTACTTTGAGAACAGGGGCTGGTTGGGTTTTATCTTGCCTTACTTAGTTTGGATTCTATTTCTGCCTCCTGGTTTGGAGGAGTAGAGAGAGTTGGTCATGGTAACTGTGAAATATGACGCTACATTCATTTTTAAGGATCGTTTTTATATATGGTAAGGTTAATTTCACCCAACTGAATTGTGATTGCAGTTTGCTAGTGCTTGGTTTAACAGATTGCAGCTAATAATGTCATGACTACAACAACTAGTATATAATATCACAAATATTGCTGTGAAACTTAGTGCATATTACAACTTAAAAATCTCGTAAAGGCATAAAGCAGTTTCATGGACATTTGCATCGTTTTTGAATAAACACAATTTTTAATTTAAAATTATTCAGGTGAGACAAGATATGACTAGATATGCTGCTATGTTCCTATACATGTTTACCCATTTTATATGTATACTTTGTGAAAACATATGGATTTCACGAAAATTTAGGAATACACTACAAGAACTATACCTTGATAAATGGTGTGTCATTGTATTGTATGTAATCCATAGGGGCTTAAAAATGTAAAAATCCACAGGGGTTTAAAAAACACACTGTCTTCTTACAGAAATTTTAACATAATAAAATGTGTAAACTTGAGAACAAGTAATTAATAAAACCAGTGAAAGTTTGCACACTATGTTGAAAGCTCAACACTACCCCCAAACTTAAAAGCTGTAAATGCATACGGCCTCTGGTGTGCAGACTGCACTTTAGGCTTGGGTTGGGCTACTAGGGTGTGCCAGGGACCAGAGGTTTCCCCAATAGCTTGGGCAGGTTCCTAAACCCTACAGCTGAGAGAGGATGTTGTCTGTTGCTGTGTAATTCCCACTCACAGCGTTCACAAAGTCACAGCACTGGTCTACTGTGAAATCAGAAAGACTGAGGGGCTTCCAGGCCACAAGCACTGCCAGGTGTGTAGTGAACACGTAGGTGCCTGCTGTGCCTTGCTGGGAATGCTCCAGCAGTCAGGGACCAGGGAAGTGCCTGTTGGTCTGACATGTTGTTTACAGGAGGTCAGATAAGCAATTACCTGTGTTCTTGTAGAGAGCATAGCTGTCACTTCTTAAGAGATGCAAAGTATATCTCAAAGACAAGGGTCCCCAGTGCTATGCAAGGTATGCTTTGATGTTATTCTTCTGAATGATCTTTCGAGATCTACTGAGTTGGAAAGGCATCTCTACATATGGTAGAAGAAACAATAAAAAGATCTGTCAGGTAACAAGGCCATAATAGAGCGCTTTCCTTAAAATGCAATATTGTTCTGCATGTATGCAAAAGATATACAAGTCTGCTGGGAAATAAACAAGGTCTCGCAAGGATCATCCAAACCTAGAAAATAAGAATGCTCTTCCTTCATGGATGTCTTGTTAACTCTATATACTTCTATGTAAATTCTACAGAACTTTCACTCTCTAAAGTGTATGGCCTGTGCCAGAAAAAAAAAAAAGCGGGGGAGGGCACCAAATAAAAATATAAGCAATGTATGCCTTGTAGAGTTTCCAGCAGCTTCCAGCTTCCACTGAGTTCAACCCTCCCCCAGAACCACCACACCACCCATCAGCTGGCCCACCTGGAAGTCAACAGGAAACTGGAAAGTTCTGCCTTGCCACAAGAAAGGCTTTGCCATTGGCTATGATCTACTTACTTCACCTCCAACTTCAGCATGAAATACCCTCTTTGGACACCAAAATAACATACTGGCCATTCATAAAAGGTTGCTGACCCCAGCAGAATAACACAACCCAGTGGAGTAATTTTAGTAAAGTTGCCTGTTGAAAATATTGGGACCATACATTTCTAGTAATTGCATGAGGAAAATCTTAGTGTTTTTTAGAGGATAGTCTGGTAAGGAGAAACTAATCAACAGAGTCAATTTGGAGGAGCAATGAGATTAGAGTCTGTGGCACTGTTATATTTCAACCTTATTAATGATTACAATATGAAAAAAAGAAATCCCTTCCTAGGACTGACTGGTCAAGATCTGTTGGGTGATGGAAGGAGGAGATAGCTGAGGTTGCTCTCCTGAGTCTCTGCATTAAAAGTCCTTTGTAGATCCAGCTTTCAATAGACCACTCTAAAAATTTAAAAATAACAGTTTTAAAAATCAGTATGCAGCCTCACTGCATATAAATGCAGACACATGCATACATGCATATTATTGAAAGATATATTTTTACTTAACCTCTGAATTTGAGAGCCATGCTGGTAGGCAGACTTCTCAAATGTCTTCCATTTCATGGTACACTTTTATGGTGGGAAGTTATTGACATCAGAAAGGAAGAATAATGAAACTGAGGTCACAGAGTTATTTACACTGGCGGGTGGATCCCACAGCATTCCTGTATGATTTGATTGTTTTGATGACCCTCTTTTTGGGATTCTGTCACACATTACATCTGATATTTGGATCTTTGTAAGTTGAAAGGGACACTGAGAGGTCTGTTTGGTTTCTGTTACCAGTAAGTTATCACAAGGTTAAAAAGTCTGTCCCTGTTGAAGCCAATGGCACAATTCCCAATGACTTCAGGAAGTTTCCAAACTCCTTGTTCCAAAGTGCTAACAAGCCAAACAGAAGGAGCCGTATAGATACCAAGCTGAGCAAAGGACACCTAAAGAAGACCCAGGGAACACACAGAGAAATATGATTAAATTACTGAGGAGGGGAAGGAGAAAGTATAGTCACCAGTATGCAAGTTCCTTTAAAAGGCAATCTTCATTTTAAATTTTGAAAGGGAAATGTGGGAATTATTGCCTTAAAGGCTTTTGTTTAGAGTTGAGAATTGACAAAACACTGTTACACAAACCAAATAAAAGAAATAGAGCACGAAAAGCCATGTTTAGATCATAAGCCGAAATCCCATAAACGCCCCAGAGCTGAGATGAGTCTTCCTCCTGTTTTCAGGCCGTTACTGTAAAGCTGTTAACCTTCACAGATACTGTACCACAGTCTGCCCAGCAGGAATTAAAAACCCAGGCTACGGTGATTGGAAAAAACAGACTAGTGACACATTAGCAACAAGGACGTGTATGTATGGCTGTGAATAACACAGCTCTGATCCTAGTGCAGAAGCCTAGGGCTTCATTACATTTAATTGCTTCCGGCTTTAAATCAAGGCCTGCTTCAAAATGAGGGTGGCAGCTATTAAACTAAATTACTTTCCCCTCAAGCTCGTATGGAAAAGTACAGTACCAAAGGAAGACAGCTTCTATTAAAAGCAGTATGCTAAAGGTGCTGCTGCCAGTCTAGAGATGGTTTGTAACTGGGAGCAGCTCATAAATGAAGTTTTATATGGTATGTGTCTTTAATATTTTATGAGGGAGAAACCTTTGTATTTGGCTCAGTTCCTTTCTGCCTGTTTCTTTTTGTGGCTCCTTGTGCCACTCTGAACTGCTACATAACGACCTTTCCTAATGCAGAAGTCACACATCAGCACACTGATTCTTTTTTTCCTGTGGGTTTCCCCCTCCAAGGTGGGTATGGGGAGCACCAGTATGATGCTCAGCAACACGAGACTTCCCAGAAGCAGAGTGCTCTGAGATGCAGCAGGTTTGGATGACCACGTGTTTGAGCATATATTTCAAACATAAACACATTAAGTGATAGAAGAAACCCTCTCCCACAAAGGTCACAACATTTTTATCCTGGGCCTACCCAGATGACAGGTCAAATTAGTACTGATTAAAAAAGCAATACAAAGCAAAACACCAGCAACAGCCCTTGATAAAATAATCTGCTGTAGGATATACCAGATTCCTGGTGGACAAACCGAAATGAAAATGAGGGATGAGTTACTCAAATCAAACCCAATGTGAACTTAATTTACCCAAATCTTCTGACAGATTTTTTTAATCCCTCTTGTGTTTCTGGCTCTCACTCATATTCAGCATCTGCTCTCTATCCTTGATCACTATCCGAATATTTGTTCCATGCACTTAATTTCATTCTCTTTCATTTTACAGCCTGCCTGGTTCATTTGTTCATTCTTTGATTTGCCCTCACGTTTTCTCAGCTTTTCATCTCTTTCTGCTTTTTTTTCCCCGTCTCCTGGCTTTATTGTCTCTTTCTCTCTTTTTTTTGTCTTAGCCTATACAGCCCTAAATTCCCCTTCCCTATTTCCCTGTTGCCTTCCTGTCACCATTTGTTTTCTATCACCCTGCTTTTCTGCTGGTTGATGTTGGAAATATTTCAGGAATTTCTAATTCCCAGTGCCATGAGAACCGTTATCTTCGCATTTTCACTGGTGAAAGTGCTCTCAGCACGGTGAGGATGATGAGGATGATGACGGAGCAGGCCTGGGACAGAGAGGCTTCAGATGGACTCTTCCCTGAGCCCACTTTGCCTCCAGAGTGGTACGCTCCAGTGTGGAATGTGCGAGAGGAAGCTGGGTCCGTGGGGAGTGTGCGGGCTGGGGGCAGGGAATGTGGATTGAGAAACCTCAAATTCCATACAGCAGAAATGAGTACAGGAGAAACCGAAATACAAGAGAGAAGCAGGATGAAGGACCAGCTGGAGAAGGGTGGGGGGGAAGAGCAGGAAAAAAAATACACCCACCACCACCACACCCCAGCCTTTTTCTTCCATGCAGGTGCAGATGAGCAGCAGTACCAGCCCTAGATAATATTCACTTGCTCTGAGTAGTAATACTAAGAAAGCCTCAGACCTCAATCTACCCATTATTTTCTTCCCTGAGCAGGGTTAGGGGTCACCTTTAAAATAACAACTGCAAATGAAAGGCAATTACGTGGAAAAAAAAAAGATCAGTCACTGGAAAAGCCAGCCAATGCATGGACTGCTGGTGACTTGTCACTGTACTGTGATAATATGCCAACTCAAAGTCTCCATAGAGAGAAAAATAAAAATATGGATAAGTGACTGTATTCTGATACCTAGAGGTGTCTCAGGAAAAGACCATCGAAGGTTAACCAACCTGCTTTGTTATTGTTTCTGCTGCACCCACTATTGTTATTTGTATTCTGGTATCATCAAGAGGCCTCAACCAAGACCAAGGCCATTGTGTTAGGCACAAGATAAATATGCACAGGAAGAGAAAGTTCCTGTTTCAAAAACTTAATGGATGAGATGAGCAAGAAGCTGAGGAAAAACAGAGATAATGTGAAGTGAAATGACTCAAACTGTATCACAAAAGGTCAGTCTGAGAGCTCCTATCCTATCTTTTACAGTTGCAAGGAGCTGAATGGGAAGAAGCTGGGAATATTGTGTATACAATTACGTTTATTGTTTAGAAATTTAAGAATTCCACAGGCTCTTACGCTCATAGTCATGGAGGCCTCCTCTGTACATGCAGATAAAAGTTAATTCCTCTGTATATGCAGGTAAAAGTCCATATTTGCTGTTTGCTAGGTTGGTCCTTCACATGCCCACCACACTGTCTCACCATGATAAATGTACATGATATTCACAACCAGTCACAGATCATGTGTAGATGGTGATGAGATCAGAATATGTTCAGCTAATACAGAATCTTTGTCTTGTCCAGCTCTCTTCCTTCTTCCCTTTGATTTCAGCACTGGCTCTCCCAGTCTCAAGAGCTGCCAGAACTATCATGCTGCTATAGAAGAGGTGACCTCAGTCAGCAGGTAGGACTTAGGAGCTCCTTGGACTCTGAGCTCATCTCTACTTCAAGCTCACATTCTCCAAATACTACTGCAGAAAGTTTGCTAAAACACTACCCTCTGCATTTCAGCTGCAGCTGAAATTCCAATACTAAGGCTGGTGAAGGGAAGCCACATGTTCACAATGCACTGGGCCAGTCATCAGCAGCACAGCATAATGCTCAAAACCAGAGTTTCAAAATCTTCAGAAGCACTTTGTTCAAGTGCTACAACCTGCCAACGTAAGATAGTGCAGAGATGTCCCTAATTGCACACATACCAGGATGGAACCTTGGGAGAAGAGCTGCTTACCACTCATCACTATCTATGTTTTTCAGAACTTCAAACCTTAAAAATATGTAAAATAAACCCAGTGCTAGTCCTGTAACAGCAGCTACTCCAAGACTTCAGGATGGATGCGTGGTGGCTCATAACATTGCAAGACACTTATAAGATAATTAACCAAAAAGTTTCTTCACACTGGGTCAACAGGACACAGCAGAACCGTGTTTGGGAGATGGCTGTACACTAAATTCACGAGTATTGAAAAGACTCTCAGCATCA